TGTGTGGGTGTGTGTGGATGGGTGTGTGTGTGTGGCTGTTTGTGGATGGGTGGGTGGGTGCTTGTGTGGGTGCCTGTGTGGGTGCTTGGGTGGGTTGGGCTGCGTGTCGGGTGTGTGTGCAGATGTGTGCTCCTGGTGGTGTGTGTGTGTGTGAGTGCAAGTGTGTCTTGTGTGGATCTGCGTTGTGTGCAATGGCAAGACCTCCACTGTGCAGCAGTCTCACTTTATCAGTCAAGGGATGCATTACAGGGGCAAGCACGTGCACGATACTCCTGAGTTTCTATTCACACGAGCAACATTTGTCTCATGCCGTCCGAGAAGGGCACATAATTCCGTGTGATACAGTAGGGAGGTGTGCTGAGGTCAATTGAACTCGGGAAAGAACAAACGACAGAGGAGGAAAGCACGAAAAGGGGTAGGGAAAGAAGCAGGGGGGGGAAGAGGGAAGAAGGGACAGCAGAAGAACGAGTGGTAGGATATCCAGCTTAGTAGGTTTTTCTAGTAACGGCCGAGCTATAGCGAATCTACTTTTATTCTAGTACGGTCGCTATAGCTCGGCCGTTACTAGAAAAACCTACTACTAGAAACTAGTAGTGCAATCGTATAGAAGTGAGATCGCCGCAATGTGATACACCATTGATTGTGACAAAACGAAAGCCAGAAAGACTGAAGCAAATCTAAATTTGCATCCACAAGAAAACACAAAACACAAGAAGTCCTCCGGGACATCCGTCGGTAAATTGAGAAATTGAAAAGAAGATAAGAGAAAGCAGAAAACACAGGATTTAGAACTTGGCAGACATCCTTCCTGCGGGAAGAAATCAACGCCACGTACTCGGAGCTCCCGACCATAATGAGGAGGGGCGTGAGTTTTGACTTGGAATGCTCTCGACTTGCCGGTGGACTGATGCTCCCCATAAATGGAAAGGAGCCGGAACCATAAGGCTCTGATTTTAATCAATTAAAATCTCATAAAATAAAAACGAAGCAAACGAAGCATACTTTTCTAGTCGGATGAAGTAGGGCGCTCATGTAGCGGCCCGTATGTTTCGTGAAGTTGTGGCTTGTTGAAGGACATGATTTCAGGAGGTACTGGTGGGGTTCAATCCCACCCGCATGTCATGCGAACATCCCCTCCACCACAAATCCTGGATTGTGGTAGACAAGACAGTGCTCACAGTGAAGCCTGCTCAAGAGCGTTGCCCTACTACCGAAAACAAGGATCCTGGATATGGGGTTGGACTCAGTCCACCTACCAACAGGCCTCTACCAACAGGCCAAGCTTTAGGTGGTTCATCCCTTAACTGCTGAATGCGCATCGAGTTTCATGTAGGGTATCAGCAGGAAGCTACAAAAAAGTACGGCCGTACGCCCTAGCCAGGCTCAGTTGCGTGTGGACGTTTTTATTTTCCGTCCGTGTCGGCCTCTACGAACAGGCCGAGCTTAGGTGGTTCACCGGTTAACTGCTGAATGGGGATTGAGTCTCAATCCTGAACGTGCAATGGTTCTGGATTACCCAAGGACTGTTAGTTCAAGAATGATATCTCAAGAGCGTTGCGCTACCTCCGAAGACATAATCAAGGGAGTGCTGGGGCGAGGTCCACCTCCCGGAGCAGGGAATCTTTCCGTGTTGTTCGTGCATTTGGTGAGTGCTGGGGCGAGGTCCATCGTCTTTCTGTTAGAATTGGAACAACACAGAGACACCGTTACAAGACAGTGCTCACAGTGAAACCTGCATGACTGAGCCAGATTGCCGTGCTGGGGCGAGGTCCATCGTCTATCTGTTAGAATTGGAACAACACAGAGACACCGTTACAAGGCAGTGCTCACAGTGAAACCTGCATGACTGAGCCAGATTGCCGTCAATTTCTTACTGTGATGAATCACACCAGAAGTAGTGCTGCATTGACCGTCCACACGCTCCAGGCTTTGAGAAGCAGAGGCAGTTGCGCTGATTTGGGGCTAGCTTTCCTGGGGTGATCGGCCGGGTAGGTACCTCGCCCGGGGTAGCCTGGGCGTGAAAAGAATCCACCGAATTTTTTTTGTTTTATTGTTTGGTTTACGGGGGTTTGCTGCGCTTGCCGAGTACTGTCCAAATCCGGCCTCATTTTGTTTTTTCAGGCATATTGGTTACGGTGTGTTGGGGGGAGGGAGAAGAGGGAGGACAATGGCCGCCGGAGGAAGGAGGGAGGAGGGAGAACCGTATGTGCAACTTTCATTGCATACGGCTCTCCAAGTAAATCTTACAAGGCCGTATTCCCCAATTAAGATTCAGAGCTTAGATTGCTAAGACTGAATGCAGCGAATATGGTCAAACATCTTTGCATGTGTTCTCAGATAAAATAGATTATGCTCAGGCACAAGCATCTCCTCCTTACGGAAGTGCCGGCCGAAGCGTGAAACTCTGCTGAGACAACCTTATCGAGGTTACCATAGGTACTTTCACTGCAAAAGATGCGAAAAAAGCAATTCGTAGAATATTTGACATCGTTCGCTAAATTCTGTTGTCAATAAGATTTGCAAATCAGTGGTTCTCTCACGCGAACCGTGCAATGCTCCAGGTGGACCGAACATTGGGTTATAGAAGGTGACATTACGACAGCCTGGCGGCTCTTTGATCGTGGAAAGGCCACATCAGGCGCTCCAATTAAAAGAGGAGCAATTTTCGATCAGCAGGAAACCACAAAAAAGTACGGCCGCTCGCCCTAGTCAGCGACCGCCGAGCTGTTTGCGATCCTCACAGACTTTACGCAATGCATCTCACTTTTGTCATTACCCAAAATAAAAAAAGGAGCGCAGTTTGTGCACAATCAATTGTTTTTGAAATCTTTGA